CAGCGAATTACAAGGGCGACTTGCGAGAGAGTTGGTTAAGGCGGCTTCTAGCAAGTATCGGCTACACGCATCAGTCGTTGACTGAAATGCGTAATCAATCGTGCTCATCAACAACCGATTAAGTCTGGATTAATAGTCGAATGCTGCTTACTGCATTCATTACGCTGACTGCTCCGTGCTAGACAAAAGTCCGTTACTATTTTGCACGCTCATATAGGGAGGGTGGAAGTTTGACGGGTAAACTATATAGCAGCTTTTCAATTTCCCCAGAAAGTAATCTATAACTTGGCTCAGATCAATATATTCATGGGTCTATAGGCGCAGACATTTAACTGCATCAAATACGCTCCTCAACTGTTGATTGTGCGTTACTACCCAATCCCTGAACGCGCTTATGTTAAATGTTTGGGCAAAACGGATGGTTGGTGTTTCGTCTTACGATCAGCCTTGACTCTTTAATATATTGATCTACTCCAAGTTAAAAGTTTATTTCTGAGAAAATTAGAACGATACAATTTTAAAACTTGAGTATCTACCAGAAGGCACATGCTGGGGGGCGCACTGGTAAGCCGAACCCTTCACAGTTGTGCAATGTAGCGGCCGCGTATCAGCGAAATAGTGCCTGGACTTTTAGTTTGTGCCTGCGCTGCCTGCATGGTAAATAATTACGTAGATTTACTCCATTATTCCCGGCTACCTTCTGGCAAGAAGTAACACAGACTAAATTCTGCTGCTATGCTAGTAGTCTTAAGATTCATTAGCAGGAGTCCCCTTGAGGTAGTCGAAACATGACACTTAGCTCGAAAATTGTCAAATAGATCAATCGAACACCCGCCTGCATACCACTCAGGTTGACGATTACAACCCAATGACTGCCAGGAAAATAGTTACAGCCTGGCACGACCAAGTGCCGGGGGAACCGATTCGGCGACCGAAAGGCATAATAAAATACTGCTTCCAGTAGTCTTCTCTTTAACTTTCCTGTATAAAGGGTCCCAGAATCATTATAGGCCATCAGCAATTAGCCTGGGATGCCTTGACGTCGTCTGTGGTGGGGATTATAGAGCTCAGTCTTCATTTATATTTTTTAACATTTCCTCGTTACATCCATATAGTATTTTTATTACTCTTCAATAATGTGAATCAGTTTGAAACATTTTTACCCTCATACAGGCCATCGTTTCTATTCGCTCGATTCAGACGGTTCAAAAATTCGTCAACTTTTCGACATTCTGGCCACATACGCAATCTACCATCCGAGTATCGGTTACCACCAAGGTTAGCCTATCTTGTACAGTTTCATTTTCATTTTTCATGTTTGTGTCTTCTTGTCTTCTCTTTTCATTCCTTAATCCACACTTAACAAACCCTCCTGAACATCGTATAGTAATGCATCCACGTTTCGAGCAATATTTAGTCTTTTTCAATCAGATTTATGGATCTCTTTGAAAAGGGGCAGTCAACTTCCTAAAAGAAATAATTATTGCTTAAGATTTTTGCTGGCAAATTCCAGTGATGACACAAAGTTTGAATATTCAGTCTGAAAGTTCAGTTCGTGTATTTAGTGCGAATAGTACTTCCGTAGGTAGTATATGCCCATAAAAACACCTCCCCAGACGGTGGGCAAACCACTGAGCTGAATAGACCTACCAGGAAGATTTAGACAGCAGAATTTTTTTAATAAATCTCCTTTCTTCCGGATAATCA